TTTTAAAGAACGACTGTTAAATGGAAATTGTACATTTACTTTGCAAAATTTATGGTGATTTATATTTGTGACCGCAAAAGTTAGGTCTAAAGCAACAGCCATTCATACAGTTAATGACCTGAGTAATTCAAGTCCGGTGCAAAAACGCATGATCGCACGGGCCCGCCCGGTGCGTTCCAGTCTGGGTTCATAACTAAAAATAAATTTATAAATTTTAAACGTCTCTGTGCTAAATTCCTTTTCCACACGTAATTTGATGAAATTTATCTCGAGTGATATTACAGGACTTTCTCTGCCGATAACAAGTACCACTGACTATCAAATCAAACTAGTGCTGCTGTTCAAATCACTGATTATCAAATTTTGCTTTGCTATCTTATTTACTGAAGAATTTTCAAGAAAATGCGCGAAATAGTTCACATTCAGGCTGGTCAGTGTGGCAATCAGATTGGTTCCAAGGTTGATGTTCTGGATTTTTCTACCAAAGATTAGTAAATTCAGCCTTTTCAAATAAGTGGCGGAAACAACAATTTTGAAAGCAATGCACTTTATCAGTTATATTTGTTCTATTATCACCAGTACTGACGCAGCAATAAAAATGCCGAACAGCAGCTGATTCTTATTTATAATTGTAATAATAGAAGTGGTAAAAATAATATTGATAGCAATAATGGTAATAATAATAACGAAGTGGCAACAACAACAAAGTAAAAATTGAGAATATGGTATCAACAATGTTTAACAGTAACAACAGAAATAACGGTAACGATAGCGAAATATTATTAATAATAGCAATAATAATTATAATAATAACGATAACGGCTGGTGCTGTAATTATAATAATCAATTTTTAATTATAACCAAATTTTCCGATCACTCTTGGAAAAAGGCCCACCTAAAAAAATGCCCGAAGAACAAAGCCTCCAAATAAAGCCACATGCATTTTCACTGCAGTTCTGGGAGGTAATATCAGATGAGCATGGGATCGATCCAAACGGCCAGTATCACGGCGATAGCGATCTGCAACTTGAGCGGATCTGCGTTTACTATAATGAAGTCCAAAAACAACGATACGTGCCGAGGTAATATCCATTATTTATTCAGCTAGGCTGTGACGGCGAAGGAGTTTGTTTTAGGACTGCTTCGAGGCTGCTGGACTTCAAAAAACTAGCACCTGGACTGAGTGCTAAACCTTTCCTAACTCAACAAATTGAGGAAGACAAAGATTTGACGCCACGTAATTTTCTAAAAATCTGGGATTAAAATCCCTATGCAGGAAACAATCTGATCTAGAAAATTTAGGAACAAATTGCAAATTCTAATTCCAAAGATCAGCATATGCGTACAAGA